TTTAGATTCAGTTTGGTAATTTGGGATGCCAATTCAGAAAATTGCATTGGATAGACCACATCAGCTCTAGTTTCTGATACAGAACATATGTCATCCAGTAGTCGCCATCTGCTCACCCACAGAAAACCATATTTAATAAGCCTCAGCACTATAAGAGGCTTTCGCGAGACCAGTTCTTCCCATTGCAACGGTGTAGTAACGGTGAGACTGTGGACCACAGTTTAGTTTTTATGGACCACCGGTGGTCCATGGACCATAGGTTGGGAACCACTTCCCAATTAAAACTTAAAAAAAATAAAATTTGTGCGCCAGCTGTGCCCGTACCTTGGGAAGTCAGACTTGGCCACGGTGGTCCACGCTCTTGTTATGTCTAGGATAGACTACTGCAATGCACACTACGTGGGGTTGTCTTTGAAGACTGCTCGGAAGCTTCAAATAGTCCAACGAGAGGCAGCCAGGTTAATAACTGGGGCGGCATACAGGGAGCATACAACTCCCATGTTACGCCAGCTCCACTGCTACCGGGCACAATTCTAAGTGCTGGCTTTGACCTATAAAGCCCTAAACGACCCTGGCCCAAATTACCTGTCCGAATGCATTTCTCCCTTTGAACCATCGTGGAGATTAAGATCCTCCGGGGAGGCCCTGTTTTCTGTCCCATCTCGTTGATTGCTCCCCGGCTATGGCACTCCCTTCCTGGTGAGATCAGGTCGGCCCCCATCTCTCCTGTCCTTTAGAAGGATGGTAAAAACTTGGCTGTGGGACCAAGCTTTCGAGACGGGGCAATAAAGCAGCAATAGGAAAGATTGCCAGGCCAATTAGATTTGACGTGGATGACTAGGACAGTTTTAAATGGTGTATTTTAATATTTTGATAAATGTTTTTAATGTTTATGTATGTATATAAGAATTTGTGTCCCGGGATTGAATGTTTGCCGTATATATGCTGAGTCCCCTTCGGGGTGAGAAGGGCGCAATATAAATGTTTTAAATAAATAAATAAATAAATAAATATTGCATTAATTTCAGAGGTACTCAAATGATCTCCTCTAAGTACAGTCCTGTTCTCTAAAGGATGCAGGGACATTTTGATGGCAAACAAATTTGTGAATTGCTCAGTGAAATTACTCTGAAGTTTCCTTATGCTGAATTGATACAAAGAAAGGGCAATCTGACCAGTTGATTTACTAAGTGGACATCTCTCTCTATGCCTTTTGATCAGCTTATGAATAAATGCAACCTATCAAGCTGTCATTTTTATGGATTTTTGCAAATAATTCTTTCAGAAACAAGAAAATTAATATCTCTCCAGGGATGGCCTGGACTCTTTGACCTTGGTAAGCTATTGAAAATCAGAGCTACATAATTCAGAGGGATTTCTTTCTTCTCTTCCCAGCAGTGAAGTGTCTCTGGTCTTGTGATAATGTCACTCACTTACTAGATTTCATTGGGAGAAGGAATACCGTAGGTTTCTGTCATATTTCCTAGTCAAAATACACAGTGTGTCTTTTGATCTTTGCAGACATATCATTGTAACAAAAGGTACTTGGCTGGAAATTAAATAGAAATTGAACATCTTTGTCTCTTATACGTGTGCTCTCAGAAATGTGTGGGTTTGTTTTGAAAATTCTGAAGCAATATGGTATATAGTGAAACTAGTTAATATTGTCAGGAAGCTGGTGAATTAATTCTTCTTTTAGAATTTTTGCAAAGCCAGGATTATGAACGGCTCCTGGAACATGTTTTTGCATTATGGTTTACAATGGTTTTGAGCGTTACGTTTTAATTATGTGATTTTAAAATATATGTTGTTTTATTTTATATGTATTAAGGCATCGAATTGTGCCTCTGTTGTGAATCGCCCTGAGTCGCCTTCCTGGGTGAAAAGATCGGGATATAAGTGTGGCAAATAAATAAATAAATTAGGATATTGTTTGTTAGTAGTCTTCCTGCAGTGCAATCTTATCAACATTTAGCTAGAAGTACATTCCACTAGTGTCAGTGGACCTTTTTCTCGGGTAAATATAAATAATCGAGTCAAGGAATTGTGATGGAAAACTTATTTCAGTGCCTTGTCTTGTTCTCATTGAGAGAGCCTTATTCCCCCATTTCTCCTGACCAGTATACCTTGGATGGGCAAAGTTAGAACGAGCAAAGGTGGAGTCAAGTTTTCTAAGCTACCTGAGAGAAAACTCACTTAGAAAGGAATTAAAACACATTGCCTCTAGTGTGTTTTGGGTTTTTTTAAAAGAAGGATTATGGTACCTTTTCCAGAATATATTTATACTAATTTAACTTCACTGTCTAAATCAGTGTTTCTCAACCTGGGGGTCGAGACCCCTGGGGGGGGGGTCGTGAGAGGGTGTCAGAGGGGTCGCCAAAGACCATCAGAAAATACAGTATTTTCTGTTGCTCATGCAAGTTCTGTGTGGGAAGTTTGGCCCAATTCTATCCTTGGTGGGGTTCAGAAAGCTCTTTGAGTTTAGGTGAACTATAAATCCCAGCAACTGCAACTCCCAAATGTCAAGGTCTATTTCCCCCAAACTCCACCAGTATTCACATTTGGGYATATTGAGTATTTGTGCCAAGTTTGGTCAGCTCCATAATTGTTTGAATCCACAGTGCTTTCTGAATGTAGGTGAACTACAACTGCCAAATTCAAGGTCAATGCTCACCAAACTCTTCCAATAKCTTCTCTTGGTCATGGGAGTTCTGTGTGCCAAGGTGGTTTAATTCCATCGTTGGTGGAGTTCAGAATGCTCTTTGATTGTAGGTGAACTATAAATCCCCCCAACCCCAACAGTATTCAAGTTTGGGTGTATCRGGTATTTGTACCAAATCTGGTCCATTGAATGAAAATACATTCTGAGTATCAGATATTTACATGATGATTCATAACAGTAGCAAAATTATAGTTATGAGTAGTAACGGAAATAATTTTATGGTTGGGGTCACCACAACATGAGGGACTATATTAAGGGGTCGCTGCATTAGGGAAGTTGAGAAACACCGGTCTAAATAAACCCTGCTTTAGAGGTATCTTTACTTAGCCTCTGTTAAACCAAAGCTATAGTTTGCAAATATTCAAAATTAAATGTTTGACATTCTCACTCAGATTCTGAATGTGAAATTTAGATCCATATTTTGTCTTAAATTTTACCTCAGAATGTTGAAACTTCTTGATATCACTTTAGTAGCAATAAAATATTGGATAGTGTTAGCTGTCAAACGATTTCATTGGATATTATGTGCTTAGCGCTGTCAGACACTGAGTACCATTGTATGTCAAATAACAGAGTTGTCAAATATTGAAAGTAAATCTTCTCTCATGTCAAATACAGAAGTTAAATATTTAACAAATATTTGATTATTTGGAGAAAATTCTCTGTCAGATCATGATTTTGCAAAGGAGATTTGTGAGGAGCACTTTTCTTTCTCTCTTTAAAATGGGATTATGGCTGCCGGTTCTGTGAAAGCAACAGGGATGCATTTTAGACCACTGGGGCACAAATAGGAATTATGAGATCCTTCTCAGTGTTTCTCAACCTGTGGGTCCCCAGATGTTTTGGCCTTCAACTCCAGAAATCCTTACAATTGGTAAACTGGCTGGGATTTCGGGGTGTTGTAGGCCAAAACACCTGGGGAGCCACAGGTTGAGAACCACTGCTTCGGATGTTTAGGGGACAGTGGTGGAAAATGTAGTTCAGCATTTGATATACCTGGAGATTCCACTCCTGACCTAAGAAGCTTGAACTATGCAAAGTTTGTTAGGAGACCTCATTCTTCTTGTTTGGTTCTCTACCTCAGTCAACTCCCAGACAGACGCCTATGACTTCTTAATGAGGAATTATAGTTGTTGCGTCTGAGCTCTGGGAATTTCTCTTCTTATTATGTTTTGAATTATTGTAAAAACATCACAGTAGTTCAGTAGTGAAAACCAGGAGCATGTCTGTACAGCTTGATTCTGGAGATGCTAGATTGGATAAATCAATCTCTCGGTGATCAATCTCTCGGTGATTAAGACTACTGGGTTAACACTCTGATAGCATTATGGGGAGGCAGTTAATATTTGGATGCAGTACCCCTTCCAGAGTGTACAGAGAGCTTGCATTTCCAAAACTGGCCCACTACTCCAAACAGTGTCTTTACTTTGCCTGGATTACTCAAAACTGTAGAGATAATCTATGTAAATAAAAATGTAATGTTCGGTTGTTGTAGGTTTTTTCGGGCTATATGGCCATGTTCTAGAGGCATTCTCTCCTGATGTTTCGCCTGCATCTATGGCAAGCATCCTCAGAGGTAGTGAGGTGAGGATGCTAGCCATAGATGCAAGCATCTATGGATCTATGACAAGTATCTGAGGATGCTTGCCATACATGGAGGCGAAACGTCAGGAGAGAATGCCTCTAGAACATGGCCATATAGCCCGAAAAAACCTACAACAACCCAGTGATTCCGGCCATGAAAGCCTTCGACAATATAATGTAATGTTCGTTTGTGGGATTAACATAACTCAAAAACCACTGGCCAAATTGACATCAAATTTGGACACAATACAACTATCAGGGCTACAAATAACCATCAATCATAAAAACACTGAAAAACACAGCAGAAGAAACTTTAAAAGCCAATTTTTTTAAAAAAACATTATAACGCATTCGCAAAATCACACACATATACACATATACACAAATATATACATACACAAAACACATATACACAGACTGGGTCACAGCAACACGTGGCAGGGGGTGGCTAGTAGATATTTAAATCCCACTTGCCTAGTATAAAATAGTTTTTCTAATTTAATAAGGACAAACAAATTGTCTTGTTCCAGGACCCCCAAATCCAGGAACTGGCATTGCATGGACTTGGGAGGAAATATTTATCATGTTGGAGCACTAAAGATGTGCTGTAGGCAGGAACATTTCACTAACTGATTCGTTATGTACTGTATGCTATTTTTCTCATTTTGATATGGTTTCCAACACTTTCTTCCAGTTGACATGGATGATGAAGATGGCCGATGCTTGTTAGATGTAATTTGGTAAGTATTTGCCCTTGTCTTGAATAGTTTCTTTTCTTCTCTGTTGCGGCTGCATATTTTCAAAATCTGAAGAAATATGATGCTGTAATTTTCATCGGTGCTTAATTTGAATCATGAAGAGTCCTCTCTCTAATCATTAACTATGACTGCTGTTGCTATATGCCTGTTGATGATATAGGCTGGCATAACAGTAGGGATGGGTATCATGCAGCCCTCCAGATGTTGTTGAATTGCAAGGCCTCCCAGTCCTAGCCAGTTTAGTCAATGAAAAGAAAGCCTGGGAGTTATAATCCAAGAACATCTGGAAGGCCACATGGTTTTCACCCTGTGTAGCAAGCCTCATTAACCAAAAGCCAAAAGAATAGTTGAAAGGTGAATTCCTGTGCATCTTCTAGCAACATAATCTCCAAATGTGATGCATATACATTATAAGAATATGTGGCTGCAGTGCAAAGTAGTAGACTCATTTCATTTTAGAAACTAAAATAGCCAGGGTATATATTACACCCCAGAGCCTTTTGTCGTTCCTAGCAGTCAGTAATGGTTGCTGGATAAAGTGTGTGTGTGTGTGTGTGGAGGGGGCACAAGGATTGCAAGGCACATTCCAGCAATCCGAGATGACAGTGGGGTTAACCCTCTCTTCCCTTAAGACAGTGGTTCTCAACCTGTTGATCCCCAGATCTTTTGGCCTTCAAGTCAAAGCTCTTTGAGAATATTTCGCCCCTGGTTGTCCTATGTAGTAGTTGCACATCCTGCACTTTATCCCATGCCCTCTCTCCATTACTGCAGCTGGCACTTATTTTATTCCAATGTTTATAGTCCAGCCATGGTGCCAGTAATTTACTGCCACAGTTAGAGGATCCCAGATTGATTACTGAATCTGAATTGATGTTTTTATATGTGCATGTGTTTTATTTTATTGTATTTTATATGATGTTCACTTTTATGTCTGTTTTGAGGCACTTTGTGCCATTTGTAAGCCACCCTGAGTCCCTTCGGGGAGATCATGGCGGGATATAAAAATAAAATTGTTGTTATTGTTAGTATTATTATTATTATTATTATTATTATTATTCAACTCCCAGAAATCCTAACAGCTGGTAAACTGGCTGGGATTTCTGGGAGTTGTAGGCCAAAACACTTCAAGACCCACAGGTTGAGAACCAGTGCCTTAAGGTGTAGGAAGTATGTTTGAAATGGTCTCCATGGCCGACCAAAGAATCAGATGCTGCTTTTCAGAGCCATAGTCCAACATGCAAACCACTGCACCACACAGGCTCTGTGGCACATTTTAATGTACACTTATTTTTTAAAAATCTACATAGCTTTTGTTTTGTCTAAAGAAGTCATTTGTATCCCATTCTACAAGAGAGAGAAATAGATACAGTATTTTGTAGGTACATAACACTGTTCTACAAATTTTCAGTTTTTCTCAGTTGCGGAAACGAAATGTGCTGTTTCTTAATAAATTTAACATGCTGAATTCAAATATAATAATTAAATGTGTTAATTGGCTCTGGTTTTTATGCAACAGCTATTTCAATTGTCTCCACAATAGGTAATTCTTTAATATTATGATAATGCGCCTAACCTTACTGCATGTATATAAACCGTGAATATTTACTAAATTTTAGTCAAATTATATTGCCAATAGTTTATACATGAGAAATATTTATTTAATTAGTCTATTGTTTATGTTTGTGCAGCAAGAAACTGTATTAGTAGGCCTAATGCAGTTGAAAAGTCTGAAAGTTTAAATGTCGCTTTAATCGTGACTTTAGTTTATATCCTGTTTGCTTCTCTTGACTTTCCTTTTGTATTCAAGGAAAGGATTGTCCCTTACAATGCTCCAGCAGTAGTCTGACAGCATTGACGGAGTCCATTTACCTTGATATCTTTTTTCCATAGTGCTTTATTTACACACGTGCGAGGCATAACTACAGTAAAAAGAACAATGTAAAATGATGTTTAACGATACTGTCTCAGTCTTCAACTGACTGACCCTCACCGTTCAAAAGTCTGGCCTTATATAGGGTTTTCTGGCTTTTGCACACGGCACTAATACTGCGTCATCAAACTTTCTAGAATATTCTAGAATCTTCCATAGTGTAAGTCACAACATGCATTTTTTCAACCATACGTGATCACGTGATTGCTTATATCATAAAAACTAGAGCCAATATACATTTTTAAATGTCATTTTCATTTTCAGCACCCCAAAATCATAAAAGAACAACTATTTTCAGGCCCGCAACTTTTTCTCCGTTGAACAGTGTAATTAATACGGATATTTTTGTTACTCAGTTCCATCAAATATAATAAGCAAACTCTGGACACAAATATAGCTGATAAATGACTTGATAAAGATAGTAATTACTTAGCAATAGATCACTGCGGTGACACTTTTGTTTCAGTTTCCCAGTTTTAATCCTTCATCGATAAATTGTAAACATTATGGAGATACTAGATGTGTTAGAGAAGACAATGATGCTGGGGGAAATGGAAGGAAAAAGGAATAGGGGCCGACCAAGGGCAAGATGGATGGATGGCATCCTTGAAGTGACAGGCTTGACTCTGAAGGAGCTGAGGGAGGTGACGGCCGACAGGGAGCTCTGGCGTGGGCTGGTCTATGAGGTCACGAAGAGTCGGAAGCGACTGAACGAATGAACAACAAGATATGTTAAGTACATTATTTCTTTATTAAATCATTCCTCATGCTGTTTTTTTTCTTCACAGTGATCCTCAGGCCTTGAATGATTTTTTGCATGGATCTGAAAAGGTGAGGAGTTGGGGTCGCATGTGTTTCTTTAAATGCTTACATTGCTGCATGCTTAATTAACAAATCAAAATGCCTCCTCAAATTGCCTTCAGCTTCTGAGCCTTCAGAGAGAGAAATGACACCGAGAACAAAGCTGGTACCAGTCGTAGAAACGATGACTTAGCAAGAGTGTCTTGTCACTCTTTTCCTCAAGAGAGCATTGGAAACTGGCAAATAAATGCAATCACAAAACTGCTTAGTAATTACTTACAATAAATTACTTGCTTTTTAAGGAGCCAGAAAAAAACCCACACCCACCCACACCAAATTGGAAATTATTAGCTACTGGAAAGAAATGTAGCCACAGGGAGGAGGAAGTGACTTCATTTCTTGATATACAGGTACAAGATAGCTCAGAAGATTTAATTTTGGGGGACTCTACAGTAACTCCAAGAATCCCCAAGTTGGTATGGCCCCTGGTTGGAGGGATTTGCAGAGTTGTCCTCCAAACCAAAAAGTAATACTTCCACGTTCTGAAAATGATACCATTTGGTCTCCATTTCATGTTAGTTCAACTTCTTGAACTCCTTGAACACTGTCAAATCTTAAATTTACAGTAATTTGAATCTTTTTAATTACAGATTGACAGTGATGATCTCCTGGACAACACAGGAGATGCAGCCAGTGCCTTCTTTGAGGGTGCTGGGGTATGTATTTTTCACCTCGCTTTTGAAGTTCAATTTATCATCCTCTTTGCATCATCATGTCCTTTCTTTGCAAATGCATCATCTTTGGAATGTGCAGTGCATGATGAAGGATGCAAGGTTATATTCCCATGATGGCAAGCAGGCGTGATAAGAGGAGGAAAAGAGGCAAGCTGTGACTCCATTGAGAACACAGGCATAGGAAGGCATGTAGGTGCCATTAACAGCTTAGCATCTCTGCTTAATACTGCTAAAAGTCACTATACATTGTGACAGCCTGCTTGTAGACTCTGTAGTGCAATCTAGTTGTTTCTGTCAGTGTGTGCATAAAGCTTGGTTGCAAATAGGTAGGCAAAGCAAAAGCAACATTGATTTGGGTGAAACCCCTCATTTCTCTCATGTCATTAGAGGAGGAAACCCAGTCTCTCTACAGGCTTAATTCTGGGCCTGGCATTCATACCTAGGTTATAGCGAAACAGGCAAGTTGATTTAAAAACCTACTTACCTACTTTACTTTAATAATTTCTATAGAAAATCCAGGGCCAGTCTGGGGAGACCAGGCAGAGATCATCCTTAGATTGTTCACAGACCTATTCATACATTTCCTGCACAATCTTTCATTAGCAATCTCAAGAGTGATTTGAATTGATCCGCGTGGTTACTGATACTGGGGTACAATCAAATGCGGTTGTGGTATAGTGTTATGATTTGCATGACCAACCCATGTTGATTTTGAATCATTCATGTGGAGTTTTGGTTGTTTTTGGATTTTTTTTCATTTGCTAACCTTTTCCATACTGGGACTTTGTTCTGTTCTTTGCAGAGGGTCTGCTCATGGTGATCGGCCTAATAAAAGTTTGGGGCTGTGAAAGCTCGATAAAGATCTTTTGTAGAATGAAGCCAGGAACTTCCATTTGTGTGTCTTGGGAACCTAGATTGTGAAGTGCTTTTGACTTGTACCAGATGTTGTCTTGTGAGACCTGATATGAGACAGATAATGCTTAACCTTTCTTTGTCCAAACAAAACTAGTCAGACGTGCATTGTAATGATGTACGTAAACTAGGCATGGTTTGGAAGAGCCAGGACCAAGTCACCTGATGTCTTTTTCTTTGCCTAAAAGCACTAAAGGAAGAAGAGCCAATTTAAATTAGGGCCATGCCATTGGAAGCAGATCCACCATCCACTGTGCCATTCCCTTAACTTAAACTTCCTTCCTCCAGCAGATATTTGCATCAAATTATTCCTCTTTCTATGACTGAAAGCAGTCATGGTGGGACTGAGGCCAATGGAAATGAAGAAAGGGATTCAACTTTTGATATAAAAAAATGAGAGAGTTTTAAGAAAACAAATGCATTATATGGCCGTGTTACTTTAAAGTATTTGCATGCATGTTGATGACCAATGAGATATAGAGTATGAAAACAATTCTGTCTTGAGGCATCCATTAGAAATATAAAAGTGCTCGCCCTAAGAAGGTCTAAAATTTGGCTTTGTTCATGTCACAGATGTTCACTTTTCTCCCTCTGTGCTTCCTCTTCATTCTTTTTCAGCTGCACGTTCAGGAGTCCACTGGCAACCATTTGAACACTGAGCAGAGTCAGCCCACAACAAGTGTTGACTTAGACTTCTTGGAAGATGACATCTTGGGATCACCTTCAGGGAGCGGGGGCAACCTGCAAAACTCAGACCAGCCCTGTGACATCCTCCAGCAGAGCCTGCAGGAGGCAAATATTACTGAGCAGACTCTGGAAGCAGAGGCAGAATTGGACCTGGGTTCTTTCCAGCTGCCTACGCTCCAGCCAGTGGTCCATACTGCCTCTGATGGCACACCCCAGATTTTTTCCAGTGGGGCTGACCTCATTGGACTGCAGCAGCCCGCAGTGCTGACTCATCAGGCACTGGTCCAGCAATCCGTAGGGGCTGATGTAGTCAACAAGGCCATCAGTGTGCAGCCTTTTCTCCAGCAAGTGGGTTTGGGGAATGTCACCATCCAGCCAATTTCCAATCTACAAGGGCTACCCAATGGAAGCCCCAGTGGGGCATTGGGCATTGGGCAGATTCAAGTGGTGGGCCAGCAAGTCATGGCAATTAACCAGCCTGCTCAGCAGATCATTGCAAAGCAAGTCCAGTCTTCCCAAGTAGCTACTATGCCAGTTGGCAGCTACATCACTCAGACTGCCCCAGACCAGCAGCAGGTCACCCTGGCCTCTGCTGGGGTCTCACCACAGAATGCTGGGCTTGTTATCCAGAAGAACCTCCCAGCAGTAGCCACGACAACACTGAACGGAAGCTCCATGTTTGGGAGTGTCTCCGCTGCACAGGGCTCCCAGCCTCTCACTGTCACGTCCAACTTGAGTAGCCCACTCATGCAAGCCCAAAATGTGATCATCCATCGGACACCCACACCAATTCAGCCCAAACCAGCTGGAGTCCTCCAGCAGAAGTTGTACCAGATCACCCCGAAACCATTTGGTCCCAACAATGCTACTCTAACCATCCAGAATGAGGCTGCTCTCCAACAACAGAAAGCCCAGCAGAATTTGACCTTTATGACTGGGAAAGCAGGGCAGAATGTGGTTCTTTCTGGCTTCCCACCAGGGCTCCCTGCCAACATGTTCAAGCAGCCTTCACAACAGCAGCAGGCTCTGAGCAAGCCCATGAGCGTCCATTTGCTGAATCAAGGCAGCAGCATTGTTATTCCAGCGCAGCATGTCCCACAGGCCATGTTGCAGGGTCAGAACCAGTTCCTTCTCCCAGGACAGCTCACAGGCACGTCTGCAGTTCAGATTCCTCAGCAGCTGTCAGCCCTGCAGGCTAACATGGGAGGCCAGATTTTAACAGCCTCTCACCCTAGTGGTCAAACTCACATCATCACTAGCCAAGGGCCCGGTGGGCAGCTAATAACCAATCAAGCACTACCTGCTCAGATCCTCACCAATCAGAACTTAGCAAGCCAGTTGAACTTGGGGCAGGTCCTAACATCACAGAATGCCCACGGGACAGCTCACATCCTTTCTGCTCCTATCCAGCTGCAACCAGGGCAGGTGGGTCAACCCACTCTCTTCCAGATGCCTGTCTCCCTGGCTGGTAGCCTGACAACTCAGAGCCAGCCTACCGTCGCAGCCTCCCTGGCTGGAAGTGCCATCAATCAGGCTGGTCAGACTGTTATCCAAGGGGTCACCCTTCCTAACCATGTGGCTATGTTAAACGCCACTGAGAACCTCAACCCCACCGTGACCATTCAAGCACCACCCAGTGCCAGCAGCCAGAGTCCCAATCTTATTCAGCCACAAGCAAACTCCAATACCAACCTGCTGGCAAGCAACGATCCGGCAAACATATTAACCGTCCAGCCCACTTCCCAGTCCACGTCTGCTCCTGCCCAGCTTCAGCTGAACCTACAGCAACAAACCCCACCACCTCAACAGCCAGCGCAACTTCCTGGGACTTCTCAGTCCAGTCCTAATTTGGTGGCATCTAGTCCTGAAAAGATTATCTTGGGCCAGACCGCTGCCGGGACTGTCATCTCCCAGGATTCCATGCAGATGTTCCTTCAGCAGGCAAGTGAAAAGTTTCCTGATATGATAGCTAATTCTGTTAAGATGCTTAATTGATTCTTCCTTGTTGGAGAGGGATCTAATTTGTTTATGTTTAATACTAAGGAACCAAAGAAGCCATGAGCCAATGATTTCACAGAATAATCAAAACATTAAAAAAGATCTAAGGAAACTGTTCAGATATTTGTTTACAACGGGAGATGGAGGCTCCACAGAAGTGTGGATGGATTTCCAGTCATTAAAATGCAGAACTTGTAACGTCCCAATTTGTTTCATGCACCTTCATCTCTACCTTATGGCGCTCCCCGTGGCGCAGTGGGTTAAACCCTTGTGCCGGCAGGACTGAAGACTGACAGGTCGCAGGTTCAAATCCGGGGAGAGGCGGATGAGCTCCCTCTGTCAGCTCCAGCTCCTCATGCAGGGACATGAGAGAAACCTCCCACAAGGATGATAAAAACATCAAAAATCATCCAGGGGTCCCCTGGACAACGTCCTTGCAGACGGCCAATTCTCTCACACCAGAAGCGACTTGCAGTTTCTCAAGTAGCTCCTGACACGACAAAAAAACAAAACAAAACAAAAACCTTTACCTTGTCCCATATAGTACCTGTTTTCTTTTGATATATCACTCTTGGTCAGTTTCACTCTCCTGCAATATCTGATGCCTTTGTAAAACAGAGTGTAGCTGAATAGAAGATAAAAACTTAAGTTGATACATGCCAGTTTCCCTAATGTTTACCATATATATGCGAGTATAAGCCAACCCGAATATAAGCCAAGGCACTTAATTTTACCACAAAAAAAAAAAAACTGGGAAAACTTACTGACTCGAGTATAAACCGATGGTGGGAAATGCAGTAACTATGGGTAAATTTAAAAATAAAAAGATACCAGTAAAATGACATTAATTGAGGCATCAGTAGGTTAAATGTTTTTTTAAAGTATTTACATAAAACTGTAATTTAAGATAAGACTGTCCAACTCTGATTAAACCATTGTTCTAACCTTCTTTGATGTAGGTGTGCTTATGTATCCTTCCAATAATAATAGAGTAAAATAATAAATGTAATAATAATAATAATAATAATAATAATAATAATAATAATAATACATCACACAGTCCTAGACCCTTGGGAAGTGTTTAACTTGTGATTTTTTGATACGAAATCCAGCATATAGATCTCGTTTGCTGTGACATACTGTGCTTTTGTGTCAGTAAAATAATAATAAATTGAGTAAAATAATGGAAATGTAACAATAATAGAGTAAAATAATAAATATAATAATAATAGAGTAAAATAATGGAAATGTAACAATAATAGAGTAAAATAATAAATGTAATAATAATAAATAGAGTAAAATAATAAATATAATAATAACAATAGTAAATAGAAAAGAAAAATAAATGTAATTAAAATCCATATAAATAAAAATGTAATGTTTGTTTGTGGGTTTAACATAACTCAAAAACCACTGGACGAATTGTCACCAAATTTGGACACAGGACACCTATCAGGCCAACGAGTGACCATCACTCATAAAACACTGGAAAATTTAAAAAGCCAAAAATAAAAAATTCTTTACAACGCATGTGCAAAACCACATATATACACATATACACAAATATATACACACACATATATATACACAAAAAACCCATATACACAGACTAGGCCACAGTAACGTGTGGCAGTCGATGGCTAGTAATAATAATAGAAATAATAATAATAATAACCCAATAAAATAATAAATAACTTTGACTTGAGTATAAGCCAAGAGGGGCTTTTTCAGCCTTAAAAAAGGGCTGAAAAACTCGGCTTATACTCGAGTATATATGGTATATATTTTACAATAAGGAGGTGGGTATAAATTCAAATGGCTGGGCTATGGAATTGCAATGAGGTGAGTGTTGTAAAGGTTGATGCCTTTTTTATTTGAGTCAGATTTCTCCAGATTGGCTCCACTTGGCAAGGTGGAAGGGCATCTGAGATTTTTGCCATTCTTGTTTTGTGATTTCATGTGTACTCAAAAAGTGGCAGGCAGTAAAGAAGATAATTCTGTATCTGGAAATTACATTCTTCAAATGGTGCCGGAGCCCATTTACATATAGGATTGGGCTATATGGCTTCCAATGATTGGGCTTTACAGATCATGAAAAATCTTTCTTTTCAGAAAAAAATTCTGTGAAACTTGCAATTATGCCATTATGTCATTCATATTAGCAAAATATCCAGAGACTCTTGAAACATTTGACCATTTTTAAAACCACGCTTTAGGACCTAGTAGTTAAGATTATGTGTGTACTACAGGTATTTTGCTGTACAAGGTTCATAATACATGTACGGAATAAGCAACACTGACCAAAAATGGGTGTCAAACTGGGCAGTTAATACAAACATGGTCCATGCTAAATCTCTTGGAAATTTCAGAAGGACCGGAGCCAGCAACAGCAGCAGCAATTTTATCCACCAACCCTGAAAGTGCAGCAGGAGAATGCTCTGAATGAGTCTACAGTTTCTCCCCACCTGTCCATGCCTCTGCCCATCTACAGCATAGCCACCACCGCACTCAGCACCACAAGCAGTGTCCCGGCCTCGGTGATAGTCAGCAGCAGCGTAGGCACAATTCTGCAGCCGCCTGCCAGCCGAGAGCTGAACCAGAACCACAGCCTGCCACCAGTGGAGTCCAAAGTACCTCAGTTCTCAGCTGGCCCTTCCCAGCAGGCACTGGCTTGCCAGGTAGCCTTTACCTGTTTGCAAATCCACGAAGTTGCCTTGCTTTGGCCTGTTCTCCTGCCTCACTCCCTCCTGTCTAACACGTCTGGTCATTTTTCCTTAGTTTCCCCTTCAGCTGCTTGCTTTTTTCCTGCACGTTCTTTGTGCAGACCACAAAGAGAGAGAGAAATATCAGCATCTCATTTAGGTTTGTGCTTACAGGCATTCTCCCACACGTCAAAACAAAGGCTAGGTTCGGGTGTTGGTGATGACGGGATTCCTTTAATAGCAAGGGAAGTCTCCCTCTTGTGGAAGCATTTGAACAATACAAGCAGAGAAACTGATCTCATCATGCCTGTGACCTCAGTCCTACCAACCAGGTGGAATGTTGACATTCCTTTTCTGTTTCAGGAAAATTTGCATTTTTAAAAGGAGCAGCAGATAAAGAAAAAATTAAATAGGAAATATGGGGTAGGATAGTTTAGTTTCTAAAGCGCTTTGTCATGATATCCAGTTTAAGAATGGAGGGAAGACTGGAAGGTGGTGGTGTCAGCAACTGTTTATGCACCACCATCAAAGTACAGGCATATAGCAGCATACTCAAAAACTTTTGAGCCTCCACAGGGGAAATTACAGTCCAAAGATGGTCACAGCACACATTGAGCTAATTTAACCAGCAAGCTTTGAGTAATGAAAATGAAGCAGATGAGCAATACCAGGGGTCCTCAAACTTTTTAAACAGAGGGCCGGGTCACAGCCCCTCAAACTGTTGGAGGGTCAGATTATAATTTTTTAAAACAACATGAATTAATTCCTATGGGCACTGCACATATATTATTGGCAGTGCAAAAACACTTTAAACAATACAATAATTAAAATGAAGAACAAAAAACAATACAATAATTAAGGGGTCCTCAAATTTTTTAAACAGGGGGCCAGGTCACAGCCCCTCAAACTGTTGGAGGGCCAGGTTATATTTTTTTTTCAAAAACACAAATTAATTCCTATGCACACTGCCCATATCTTATTGGCAGTGCAAAAAACATGTACAACAATACAATAATTAAAATGAAGAACAATTTTAACAAATATAAACTTATTCGTTTTTCAATAGGAAGTGTGGGCCTGCTTTTGGCTGATGAGATAGGATTGTTGTTGTTGTTTGCTTTCAAGTCGTTTCAGAGTTAGGTTGACCCTGAGCAAGGGCCGGGTAAATGACCTTGGAGGGCCATATCCGGCCCCCAGTCCTTAGTTTGAGGACCCCTGAGCTATGCTATTAGTACACAATGTTTGGATTGGTATCCAGCCCTGAACGGTTCTGGCCCAGCTTAACATGTCCAAACGCATCTCCCCTTATGAACCATCTAGGACCTTAAGATCATCTGGGGAGGCTCTGCTCTCGTTACTGCCTTAGTCACAAATACGTTTGGTGGAGATAAGAGACAGGGCCTCTTGGTCGTGGCCCCTTGGCTGTGGAACACTCTCCCTATAGATATTAGATCAGCCACCTCCCTTTTAACATTCTGGAAAAAAGTCAAGACGTGGCATTTTGAACAAGTGTTTGCAGATACAGAGTAACTGACGCAGGAAAATGGAATGACTGGACAATGAGTCCGGACAGCGTTTTTAACAAGGAGACACTATGAATTTATATTTTATTGATTTGTTTAGTTTTTATTATATGTTATGTTTTTAATTATATTTATGACATTGCAAGCATTGAATTTTGCCCTGTTAACCACCTTGAGTCGCCTATGGGCTGAGAAAGGTGGTAAACAAATACAGTGAATGAATGAATGAATGAATGAATAAATAAATAAATAAATAAAATGCACTTTTATGTGTGCACACCTACACACAGCCACACATGCACACTCCAGAAATGGGCACATATCTCCCTACCTCCATTGTTTTTATCAGCAAAAGTACTGAATTGTGTTTCTCCTCTCCCTGGATCCTGTTGCCAGTCTGTGGCCCTCACCTGTTTGTCTCTTCTCCCTGTTGCTGCTCTTGCTTGCTTCTTTTTTGATCCTCACTAACCCTGGGAGATCTGGTGGTGGTGCTGCTGCCTTCTGTTGCTTTCCCCTCCCCATCTCCTCTGTCTATTTAGAGCTGAACATTGCACATGTGGTATGTTTCTATCTCCTGTCGGAGTGCGCATCTCTTTCCTCCTTATACATCATGTTTGGGGTGGAGTATTGACAGTTCGAGTCTCTTACAATAATTTGGTGTGTGATGGGTATACGTTGAAAATGTTGTAGTGCTGCTAGTAGGAGCTTGCAAAAGTGATGCTACGTTGTGGGATGTGCAAAAGTGATGCTCTCCGTCGGGCTGGTATAGCGAAAACATGGTGCTATGTAGCAATTTTGTGAAAATAGAATGTATTATCATCATTATTATTATTATTATATTATGATTAGTATTATTATTAGTATTATCATAATATCATATATGGCATCATCAAGTGACCATGGCACTTTACAATTAAACAAGCAAAAACAGTGAATCCTGCCAATAATGATTAAGTATGTTTTTATAACTACATATTTTATTGCCTTCAGTGAGAAGGAGGCAAGGCAATAGTCAACAACTACAAAAGAATTGAATTTTTTGGGATTTTTTCTGTTTGTAAAACACTTGTTTATTTGGATTGTTGTAGGTTTTTTTGGGCTATAGTCATGTTCTAGCAGCATTCTCTCCTGACGTTTTGCCTGCATCTATGGCAAGCATCCTCAGAGGTTGTGAGGTCTCAAAGATGACCTCACAACCTCTGAGGATGCCTGCCATAGATGCAGGCAAAACATCAGGAGAGAATGCCTCTAGAACAGTGGTTCTCAACCTGGGGTCCCCAGATGTTTTTGGCCTACAACTCCCAGAAATCTCAGCCAGTTTATCAGCTGTTAGGATTTCTGGGAGTTGTAGGCCAAAAACATCTTGGGACCTCAGGTTGAGAACCACTGCTCTAGAACATAGCCATATAGTCTCAAAAAAACCCTACAACCCAGTGATTCCAGCCATGAAAGCATACTTGTGTATTTGTGTACTTTATTGCACCATTTTTTGAAAAAAGAGGAAAATTTGATATTTTTATTTTCAGGAAAAGAATGTTCATCTTTATTGTCATAACAACAATATTGGAGATGATTTTCAAATTTAAGGCAATGCAGTAGAGCCTAGGTATAATTTTACAGGGAAGTTGTGTGTGTGTGTTGTGTCCTTCACATGGGAACACATCTCTGTGTTCACCAGAAACTAAAAGAAGTCACCATCTTCCTCTTTCCTTGTATGGTACTTCAGAAGGACATGGTTTTGTCTCCAATGGTACCAGCCTCCAACATTTGATTCTGGAAGTAAGCTTTAAGCATTGTGGCTGTTTCAGTGGGAAAGGTAGAAAGAGGGAGAATTTTGAATCAAGATAACGAAATATAGTTTAGATTTTATGTCTTGTTTTCAATTCTTAAAAATGATTTTCACCTTAACTTAAAGACAACTTTGAGAGCATCATCTGCTAAAGCCAAATTCTACAAGCAAGCTGAATCAGCCAAATCAATTTGGCAGTTCCCCATAGGTATTTTGGTTGGGTGACCTATAAAGTTGACTCTCTGATCCTGAAACCGTCTCCATTTGGTTCAGGGTCTCTCTCACAGTGTGAAATGAAGGGAAGGAGAGAAAAAGCAGCCTCAAGCTGGCAATTGTGAGCTTTTGGACTCAATAATTCTTGGCTACTTCTGTTGGGTGTTGGTGCCTAGGGACACCAGAGTGCTTTCATGAGAGATTTCTAACCCAATTTACCTCTCTCCTTTTTCCTTCCTTTTCTCCCACCTCCACCCCCAATGGTCCTCTTTCAGTTGCCTTCAGGGCAACAGAAACTCCCTGGAGCCTCCCCATCCCATTCGCTACCTCATCCCTCCATGGGGGAGAGTCCCCAGCTCCAGCCCACACATCTTTCACAGATGCAGTCTCCACACCAATCCCGTCCTCCTTCGCAGCCCCAGCCTCTGTCCCGGCCCCCTTCCCGGCCTCACTCGAGACCCCCTTCCCAACCTCAGACGTTATCCAGGCCTCCTTCCGAGCCCTTGTCACGGTCCTGCACCCCGCAGACTCAAATGCAGAACTTGTACGTGATCCAGAATCAAATCGCTTCTTCCCCTCATGGCCCTAACCAGCACCCCCTGCGGCCCCCCTCTCAGCCTCAGGTATCATTCCAAGCACCGCAGGCCCAGCCAGAGGGGCAGCCTCACCTGGCCACACCCCCACATCTGCAGTTACAAGTTCAGCTTGCCCCCCAGCTCCAGCCCCAGGTTGAGACCCAAGTGCAGGCCCGGCTCCAACCCCAAATCCATGCTCCGTCTGAGGTGCAGCATACCCATTCTCCCCATTTCCAGCTTCAGTTCTCTGCCCAGGGCCCCATCAAAACCACGCCGACCCAGACGCTTCATCTCACCCCAGAACAGCAGAGGAGTTTCCAGATGGTCCAGAACCAGTTTCAGGCTCTCTCTGCAATTCCGGCTACCATACCTCACCAGAAGCAGCTCACAGACCGATTTCAGCAGGTAAAACACTCATCTTAAATTGCAAATTGATGAGGGATTAATTTGCCAGGATAGAACAATTGTTCACAATGCCATATTTTTCCTGCTTGACGTTTTCCCCGCCCTCTGTGAGATTTTGAAAAATCCAACAGAAACTCAGCATATAAGGATCATATACTACTTTGATATAAACACACACAGAGTGAACAAGGTTTATTTAAAACATCATAACCAATTGCTGGAGTTAAATGGCCTATGTTTATTCCCTGTCTTAACGAAAGTCTATCCTACCTTTGATTGTTCCACCAGTTGAGTAAATAAAGCAAGGTTGTAATTTGGAGGGTGCATACAGTAAACTCCTTTATCAGTGAAGAAAAAATTAGACAAATACTTGTTCCCTTTCTGTATTTGTTAAGTACCGTATATACTTGAGAATAAGCCTAGTGTTTCAGCCCTCTTTTAGCTGAAAAAGTCCCCCTCGGCTTATACTCGAGTGAAGGTCCTGATGGGAAGGGGAGGGACTGAAAGAAGGCCTTCTTTCAGCCTCATGTCTTCCCACCAGGACCCTCACGTCTCCTCACAGTAACCCAGCTGGGTCGCTGTGCCTAGAGAGGAGAGAGTGTGTATCTTCCCCTCCTCAATCCTTCCCACTTCCTTCCTTCCCACCTGAGTTTTTTCTCCACTTTTTCAGCAGCCCTTTCCACCCCAGTCTCCCCTTTTCCTAGTTACCCCCTTCCTACCTCAGTCTTTACTATCCCCAGCCCCCACTCTCCACTTTCTTTCCCAGTGTCACAATGCCAGGGCTCCGCTGTTATTTCCAGCAGAGATGAATCAAACAAACACCCAGTTTGTGTTAAACAGTTTTAATTAAAACAGCACTTACTTTCTGACTGTTTTAATAGTCCAAAATATAAAACAAAGATAGCACTCAGCCACAGAATAAACAAAAACTGATAGCAAAAGCTACACCGTAGTCAAAGGGTCCAGTCCAGTGGTCAAACACCGAGAGTTCAATAAACAAAGTCCAGGAATCAAGAGTCTATACCGTAGTCAAAAGCCATTCCAGAGGTTCAGGGTTCCAAGATTACAAGAGACAGGTCAGGATACCAAAAATCCAACAAACCTGGGGGAAAACCAGCAGCATCCACCACCAAAATAAGACAAATACTTTTCTCCTAAACATCACTCCCAAGGTTAGCTCCTTAAATCCAGTAACACCCAGCTGCAACCTATCCCCTGCATGCCTCCACCCTTAATTGCTTTTGCTTAATTTGTTACTTACAAACTACTCAGCCCTTTAGATCCAAGACTTACACCAACCACCATCAACTATGGGACATGATACATGACACACATCCCCCTTTCCATCCCAGCCTTTCCCATGTTCCAGCCTCTTTCCCATTTCAGTCTTGCCCCTTTTCCCACTTCAGCTTCCCACTTTCCTGGCTCCTTTCCCACATCAGTTTTTCCCACTTCTCCACTTGCCCCTTCCCACTACAATCTTTCCACCTTTCCAGTCCCTCCTTTTGTACCCCTTTTTTGCTCATTTTGCAGTTTTCCTTTCGCCATCCCAATCGTTTCCTGCTGCCTCTCTTTCCCACCCCAATTTCCTCAGCTTTTCCCAATCCTCCCTTCACACTCCAGTGGTTCTCAACCTGTGGGTCCCCAGATGTTTTGGCCTTCAACTCCCAGAAATCCTAACAGCTGGAAAACTGGCTGGGATTTCTGGGAGTTGTAGGCCAAAACACCTGGGGACCCACAGGTTGAGATCCACTACTCCAGACTGAGGTCTTTCCCACATTTCCAGCCCCTATTTCCATCTGAACCTTTCCCAGTTTCCAGCCCCCCATTCACACCTCAGTCATTCCCTCTTCCCCAGTTACACCCTTCCTAAGCCAGTCTTTCCAACTTTTCCTTATTCATATACACATAGTATTTTCCCTAAAACGTATAGTTAAAATAAACTGTGGTGATTATTGGAAGGATACGTAAACACATGTACATTGAAGAAGGTTAGAATAATGATTTAATCAGAGTTGGACAGTCTTATCTTTTTATGTTTTATGTAAATATTCAAAAACATTTAACCTATGGAGGCCTCAATTCATGTAATTTTATTGCTATCTATTTTTATTTTGAAATTTAGCAGTATTGTGATTGTTTTTATATTTTCAATCTGATGTTTTTAATTTGTTGTGTTTTATTTGTAACTTTTGGGCTTGTCCCTTGTAAACTGCCCCAAGTCCCCTTGGGGAGATGGTTGGCAGGGTATAAAAATAAAGTTGTTGTTGTTGTTGTTGTTGTTATTATTATTATTATTATTATTCCCACCCTTGGTTTATTCTCCAGTTTTTTATAGTAAAATTAGGTGCCTCGGCTTATGTTCAGATTGGCTTATACTCGAGTATATATGGGTCTTAGAACAGACAGGCAAAGTGAGGCTCTGGAACTGCATACAGTCCCTTAGACTATTTTTGTGACCCTAAACTCACCCAGACTACCCAATCTATTGTTTTCTTGCCAAAGAAGGTTAATTGGCCACTTGGCCCCTGCGTAAGTATAAAGTAAATCAATCAATAGCATCTAATTTAAACTTCTTTTTCTTCCAAAATCTCATCTAGGTGCCCCAGGGGATTATCCTACAAACAAAGCAGCCTACAGCCACTAGCCAAGCATCACCTGTGCTTAGCCAGTTCAGCAACCAATCCTCCTCAGTACTAGTTAGTAGCCAAGGACAGCAGCAGGTCACAGTGATGACAACTCAGGCACCTCCAGTTCACAGCCATGCTTCTGTCTCCACCACAATTCAGCCTTCCAATGCTGGGTCTGGCAAAGCAGCCTCCGTGCTTGAAAAGGGGCAAATGCAAAGAGAAAGAGGCAGTGGCAGCAGCGGAGGAGGAGGAGGAGGAGGGCAGCCTGCTCAACCAACAGCACTCCTCCAGCAGCAAGCACCTGTGTTGGTCAAATCAGCTTCAGTGTGTAAGTTGAGAAATCTTTCTTTCATATGCTTTGGCAGCTCTGAAAGGAAAGAACAGAATAGCTTTGTCCTATTTGACCATCACTGTCTTTTTGTTGCACGAGTTTGTATGCACCTGCTTCTCCAGACAGAGAACAAGCAAAGGAAGAGTTTCCTTCAGTCTGCTGCAGCCATTCTTCTTACTATGTGCACACGGGTTCCTCTGTTACTTCTTTCCCTTTCACCTGGATTCTGGAATGAAATGCATAACGTACACCAAGATTTGGACACAATACACCTATCAGGCCAATGAGTGACCATCACTCATAAAAACATTGAAAAACACAGCAGAAGTGAATTAAAAAGCAAAAAAAAAAAACCCAAAAAGATGCTACAGTGCATACACAAAAACGACTCCCCGGGCAACCCCCCCCCCCCCCACATAGCATATCCACACTTCTCTTCTGGACTACAGCTTCCAGCATCCCCTAGACCAGGCCCTTTAGGAGAGGAGGATGATACAAATGCACTGCTTCCAAGATGCAAGCTTTCTTCTCCTTGGATTTCTTTGAGAGCATCCCAATCCCTGCATATTTCCAATTTCCTATTCCTGGACTGCAACTCCCAGCAATTCTCCAGATAGATAGATTAGATAGAGAGAGGTAGGTAGATAAATCGATCAGGAAGACTTGCTGGGAGTTGCAGTCTAAGAATAGAGAAGGAAGAAAGGGGAGAAAGAGGAACAAAAAGAAAAGGGAGGGAGGAAGAGAAGGAAGGAAGGAGAGAAAGAAAGAAGGAGAGAAAGAGGGAGGGAAGGAAGGTTGGTCACAGCAACGCGTGGTGGGTACATCTGGTCTTTTAAATAAATTTAAAGTGGGGAGAGTTTAACATCAAAAATACATACTCATTGGCCAAACTCCGGTATGAATAGGTTGCTGTGAATTTTCCGGGCTGTATGGCCATGTTCCAGAAGCATTATCTCCTGATGTTTCGCCCACATCTATGGCAGGTATCCTCAGAGGTTGTGAGGTCTGTTGGTAACTAGCCCACGGAGGTCTATAGTTCTGTAGATTGTCCAGAGTGGGAAAAGAACTCCTGTCTGCTTGAGGCAAGCGTGAATGTTACAATTGGCTACCTTGATTAACATTGAATTGCCTTGCAGCTTCAAAGCCTGGCTGCTTCCTGCCTGGGGGCGAATACTTTGTTGGGAGGTGTTAACTGGCCCTGATTTATTCTTGTCTGGGTTTCCCCTGCTTTTTTAGTGTTTCTTTTTATTTACTGTTCTGATTTTATAGGTTTTTTTTAAAAAAAAAATATTGGTACCCAGATTTTGTTCATTTTCATGGTTTCCTCCTTTCTGTTGAAATTGTCCACATTCTTGTGGATTTCAATGGCTTCTCTGTGTAGTCTGACATGGAAGTTGTTAAAGTGGTCCAGCATTTCTGCGTTCTCAAATAATATGCTGTGTCCAGGTTGGTTCATCATTCTGGTATGAATCATAGCTTTCTCCCAGTCTTTTGGAGTCAGAAGCACTTTGCTGTCTTCACTTAAATGGTGTAGCATCAATGAGCTGACTTGCATTTACAAATATAGATAGCCAACGTACATAATGTTAGAGGGTGCTGTAATCACCCCAGAAGTGGACAAGGGTCATGAAATATGTCAGAGATTATGATTATAAATACAAAAGTTACTATCTTTTAGTTATTAAGGCTTTACACTTCACCAAAGAACAATGTCCTGATGACTCCTAAGCAGTCTGAGAGTTGGCAGAATGACCTTTAGTCCTGATGGAAGTGTCTTACTATTGTTACCACCGTATCTGTACCATTGGCTGGTGTAGTTAAGATATCAGCTCAAGTCATTGCCATCTTTTTGTTTCTGATGTGCGCAACTGTCTTTTCCTTCCCTTTCTTCAGTTCAGTGATTAAATGTAGGAGGATAGGCCTCAAGCTTCCCTAGAAATCACAACTTTTCACTTGGGAAACTTTTCTTCTCTGTATGACTGCACATTGCAGTTGGGAGAAAAAGAGAAATAGGGAAAGTAAACATGGAGGAAAATAAACTGATCAGCTTCCCCTCCTCTTTAGCACATGTTCTCTCCAAAACTGTGAGAGCGAGAGATTCAGATTTGAAATCACGGTTTCTTCATGAACAACTTTCAGATGTGTATACGTCTCTTTCTGGAACCTGATTTGTTTGTGTGTCTCCCTATACTCTAGCAGTTTCTGCTGCAGCCCCTGCGGACAGCAAAGTCTTTTCCAGCAGTTCCATCCCTATGCCTGGAAGCAAAGCAGCCCCAGGGCAAGGAAAACCTGCAGCTTCTCTCGCCATACAGCAACCAGTTCAGGTGGGATTCTTTGAACAGCTCTTTTGAATAAACTGTAACCATGCAGTGAAATGCAGTGTGTGGTTTCATACTTCCTTCTTGCTTTTTTTGGCAGGCAAAGCCTGGAGTCATTAGCTCTGTGTCAGGCCAGAATCTTGGGAAAAGTCCACTTCAGCTCCAAGCAGTTGGGAAGAGTTTGCCACAGCTCATGCCTTCAGCACCTGCCCAAATGCAGCAGCCGGTGAGGATAGACCTGTCAATTTTTATGAGTCCTTTAATAACTTCTTTGACATACTTTTGCCTTGGTACATTGTCTTGCAACTGCCATTTTGTTTGGGTTTTATTTGTACTTCTCGCTCACAAAGAGTGCGGTATGAATAACGTATAACATACGTTTTTACACCTGTGTATTTATTTTTTAAAGGATTATTTATTTATTTATCGTGTCAGGAGCAAGCCAAACAGTTGTATTGCATTTTTAACAAACAAACAAACAAAACACAAAGTTTGCAAGCTTGGTAGTTGATTAAATGTCCTTTGATCAGTAACTGGCCACTTGGAGTGCCTCTGGTGTTATTATAAGAAGGTCCTCCATTGTGCATGTAGCAGGGCTCAGGTTGCATCGCAGCAGATGGTCTGTAGTTTGCTCTTCTCCACAGTAGGGTAGTGGGAAATGGGAATAGGAATAGAGAGGGCCCAGAAAGAACATGGAATAGTTGGGGGGGGGGGGGTAGTTTGGCTTTCCGGTCTTCTTCTCCGCGTTCTCCTCTCGCTCTCATATATATTCTTCTTTTCCTACCTGTCGGTTTTCACTTGCAATGTTTATTTACTTTTATGATTCTTCTTCTCTTCCTTTTTCTCCATCTAAATTTTCCTCAATATCTAACCTTTATGTTTCTTCTTCATATATTCTCCGAATAGTCTCCAATCTGTTGTCTTCGCAAATCTTCCCGTGGATCCTTTCAAATAGAAAGTCAGTTTATCCATATCTCTTATCTCCCAAACCTTGTTTAGCCATTCTTCTTCTGTAGTCGATTCATGAGATTTCCATTTTCAAGCATACGCTATTCTGGCCGCCGTAGTAATATATGTAAAAATTTTGTCTTTATTTGTATCCAGCATTATATCTTCGTCTGTTATTCCTGAAAGGAAATATTCAGGCTTCATCTGTATTTTTATTTGTAAATTTTTTTGTCTTGTTTCTTGAATTGCTTTCCAAAAACTTCTTGCTTTAGGGCAGGTCCACCATAAATGGTAGAACGTTCCCACTTGTGCTTCACATTTCCAACATTTGTTATGGGAGTTTGTTATGCTTTATACATTAGGCCTAATTTTTGCGGTGTCATATACCACCTATAAAAAATCTTGTACTAGTTTTCTTTGAGGTCTGTTGCATATCTATATTTCAGTTTTTTATTCCAAATCAATTTCCATTCTTTTAATTTTATAGGTCGACCTATATTGGAAGCCCATTTGATCATACATTCCTTTACCAATTCTGTTTCGTGGCTCACTCTAAAAGTTTAGTATAGGTGTTTGTTATATTCTTCCTGTCCTTTTGTATTATTGTTTCCCAGAAACTGTCTTTCTCTGTGAAGCCTGAAATCTTATCTTTCTTATAGTTCTCCCTCAGTTGGATATACTGGATCCAAGAGTCTGCCTTGAATTGTCGAGTAATCTCTTCTTGTGATTTCAGATAGAAGTTACCCTCTTTCTAAACAGTAAAGTGTTGATGCAATTACTGAAAAACATGCCTCCTTAATTCAAAACAAATATGCTTCTCAGGTCAATGAGTATCATGCTCCATACTTTTCTCAGAAGCTGAAAGATGTAATGGGTTTTTGTTGCCTGTAGTTTACCTAATGCACTTTTGTTTTTATGTTCCCTTTCACAATTAGTTTGATAGCAAGCTTGGTAGCCTGAAAAAGCCACCTCCGATGCTACAGCCCAGCAAGGAAGCTTGGTAAGTCTCTGCTGAGAAAAATCCAGAGATCATACAATCATAGAAAGAGAAACAAAGCAGTGGGATGGGATTGCTAGTATTGCAATCAAAAACTTGCCTTACTGAATTTCCTTTTGATTCAGGCAAAGATCATAGTCCCCATCTCTGCAGTGTAAAATCACTTAAGCATAGCTGTGCAACAGTACCGGACTGTGCTATGGAGCAACCTGTGGTACAGCACAACTTACCTCTTGCCTGCCAGTCACCCCATCTTCCGCCTACCATGAAAGACCAGACCTTTTAGCCTTCTGTGACCTCAGAGGCTTTCCAGTCACTTTTATAATGCCATTTAAACCAGTGCAAATTGACCACAAGATTTGGGCCAAGTTTCTGCCCTGGGTTTTCAGAGTAGAAAATGAAGTTGTTGATGGTAATATTCACATGTTTGGAAACATTGTGCTATAGTACAGTGCTATTTAAAGTGGTGCTCCCTGGATTGTAATGATAACTGAGCCATTGGCTGCTCATGTGTGGTGAGTTTCCAGGAAAGAAAAAAAAAAGAGCACAAATTCAGTGACAGTCACCTGTGTATACTGTGGAAAAAATAGTTGCCATTCCTCGTGTCAGACAACCTGAAAAGCACTACTACATTGGGCTTAGTACTGGCTCCAGCCTGGAGACAACTGGGTTTGACTTGACCGTGTGAATATAGACCAGTAACATACCCTTGTTATTAACTTCCCATATGTTTTATTTATTTATTTATTTACAGCATTTATATTCTGCTCTTCTCACCCCGCAGGGGACTCAGGGCAGATTACAATGTACACATATATGGCAAACATTCAATGCCAATTTTAACATACAACATATACAGACATACACAGAGGCTATTTAACTTTTTCTGGCCACCAGGGGAGCTGTCGCTTTCATCGTCCATCTGCGACACTGATGAAGTACTTCCGCATTCCCCGCATGCTTTTTTGCTGGAGTTTTGTGAGGATAACCCTCACATAGACTACTATGAGCATTGCACTGCACTGGGGAAGAACATTTTGCATGTCCCCCCCCCCCCCTGTTATACTCACAAATATATTTAATTACTCCAGTAGTTGGAATTCTCTGAGCAAAAGGTTGAGATCTGGCATTAGAATTCAGCAAAAATCTACAAAGATGTATTTAAGAGCCACAGACTTGGGCGACTAAATTAAAATTCTTATCTAAAACCCCTATCCTTCTTTCAAAATTCCTTCCAGCAGTAGGATTCAAATAGTAATGGAAATATGATGACAAATGGGGATATTACACAGTCCCTGCAGGTTATATAAAGATTTATTACATCAAAGTATTGAATATTTGTGATTCTTTTTATTTTCCCTATGCTGTGAAACTTAACATATCACACTGCAAAGAGCTAACTGCAGGGGTTGCAGGAGCAGGTTGGATGGGATGGGAAACAATTGCTGTCTATTTCTGGTGTGCTATCCAGAGCTAGTAAAGAAAACAAAAGGGAGTTTTGTAGGATCCTTAAGACCAAGAGGTTTATTTTAGCATGAGCTTTCATAGTTATTATACTTGGTGTGGTTAGGGTACATGAAGGACAGTATTGAAGCCTCAGCTGTATTTGTTGGAATGGGATCAGGGTAATGTGGAATGCATGCAATAATCAGATTATTAGCAGCAGTCATCAATTTGCAAGGGTTATAGTGAGAGTGATATTTTGGGATTAAACCCATTTGCATTTTTTCCTGCTGCTTCCTTTAGTTTCTTGGAGCAGCTGCATAAACACCAGGGGGCAGTGCTTCATCCTGATTACAAAACCTCATTTCGGTCCTTTGAAGATGCTTTGCAGAGGCTTCTACCATACCACGTCTACCAAGGAACACTGCCTTCTCCTCATGACTATCGGAAAGGTGGGTTGAACTAGACTGTCTGCCATCTTTTTGGCCATCTGACATCTTCAGTACTCACCTTAAGTATTAAAAGCATGTTCCAACCACTCCAAAATATTTCCTTGCACAACATCCCATTTAAAAACAAGACGGTGTGGTCTAGCAATTCAAGTGTTGGACTGGGACTCTGGGAGACCAGGGTTTAAATCCCACTTAGCCACAGAAATCCATTGTATGACTTGGGCAAATCATATCGCTCAGCTTCAGATGTAAGCAAAGGCAACCCTCTCTGAATAAATCATGCCAAGCACTCCACTTAGGCAGAAAAATGAAATACAAAGATAAAGAATGGTGGACGCATGGCTTGTGAAAAAGATCTTGGGGTCCTCGTGGACAACAAGTTAAACATGAGCCAATAATGTGATGGGGCAGCAAAAAAAGCCAAAGAGATTTGGCCTGCATCAATAGGAGTATAGTGTCTACATCCAGGGAAGTCATGCTCCCCTCTTTTCTGCCTTGGTTAGACCACATCTGAAATATTGTGTCCAATTCTGGGCACCACAATTAAAGAGAGATATTGACAAGCTGGAATGTGTCCAGAGGAGGGTGACTAAAATGATCAAGGGTCTGGAGAACAAACCCTATGAAGAGTGGCTTAAAGGGCTGAGCATGTTTAGCCTGCAGAAGAGAAGGCTGAGAGGAGACATGATAGCCATGTATAAATATGTGAGAGGAAGTCACAGGGAGGAGGGAGCAAGCTTGTTTTCTGCTTCCCTGGAGACTAGGACGCGGAACAATGGCTTCAAACTACAAGAAAGGAGATTCCATCTGAACATGAGGAAGAAATTCCTGACTGTGAGAGCCGTTCAGCAGTGGAACTCTCTGCCCTGGAGTGTGGTGGCGGCTCCTTCTTTGGAAGCTTTTAAACAGAGGCTGGATGACCATCTGTCAGGGGTGCTTTGAATGTAGTATTCATGCTTTTAGGCAGGGGGTTGGACTGGATGGCCCATGAGGTCTCTTCCAACTCTATGATTCTATTATAGCCATGTAAAATACGTGAGAGAAAGTCATAGGGAGAAGGGAGGGAGAAGGCTTGTTTTCTTCCCTGGAGACTAGGACGCGGAACAATGGCTTCAAACTACAAGAAAGGAGTTTCCATCTGAACATTAGGAAGAACTTCCTGACTGCGAGATCTGTTCAGCAGTGGAAGCTGTTCAGCACTCTCTGCCCTGGAGTGTGCTGGAGGCTCCTTCTTTGGAGACTTTTAAACAGAGGCTTGATGGCCATCTGTCGGGGGTGCTTTGAATGCAGTTTTGCTGCTTCTTGGCAGAAATGACTGGATGATCCATGAGGTCTCTTCCAACTCTATGATTCTATGATTCAAGCAAACCCTGTGATAGGTTTTCCTCATGGTCACCATAATTCCGAAATGATTTGAAGGGAACTCACGCACAGACTTCCCATTTACAATCGGCAAAGATATAACTTCGTTCTCTCTCCACTTTCCTGCCTTTTCCATGGCGCTCTTTTCTAGTAGATGAAGAGTTTGAAATGGTGTCAACACAGCTGTTGAGACGCACACAAGCCATGCTGAACAAATATCGCCTGCTGCTCTTAGAGGAATCACGGGTAAGGTTTTTCTTCTCCAGATGCTCCTTTGAAAAGGTAATTGTCAGTAACCAGCCTGATCTCACCTTTCCTTTTGTCCTCTGATGAGCATTCAGTTGACTGGCTAAATTGCTGAGAGGTTAGCCAAAAGCTGGGTGGTTGTGGAGAGGTAACCATCATGATAACATTGTACCTTTTGGACTTTGTTTGTATCTGATTAGAAATTAACACGAGTCTGTAAATATTTTGTGAAAAAAAGAAAAGGATAAGATTGTCCCTATGTTTGACATCTCTACTTTGTTTTAAAAAATCCAGTCTAACTAATGTATATCTATACATGATACCAGCTTGCTTTTATTGACACTGTTTGCTTAGTTTGTTTGTGCTTGATATTTGAGACAACTACCATATATACTCGAGTATAAGCCAAGTTTTTCAGCTCTTTTTAGGCTGAAAAAGCCCCCCTCAGCTTATACTCGCGTCAAGGTTATTTATTATTTTCCTTTGTTGTTATTATTTTTATTACATTTATAATTTTACTATTATTATTATTATTATTATTATTATTATTATTATTATCATTACATTTACATTATTTTACTCTATTATTATTTTATTACATTTATTATTTCACTCTATTATTACATTTATTATTTTTCTCTATTTATTATTGTTATTATTACATTTATTATTTTACTCTATTATTACTGTTATAACATTTCAATTATTTTACTCTTTATTATTATTACATTTATTATTTTACTTTATTATTACTACATATGTTATTTTATTCTAATATTTCTGTTGTTATTACATTTCAATTATTTACTCTATTATTACTATTATTATTACATTTATTATTTTACTCTCCTTATTATTATTGGAAGGATACATAAGCACATTTACATTGAAGAAGGCTGGAATAATGGTTTAATCAGAGTTGGACAGTCTTATCTTACATTACAGTTTTATGTGAATATTGCAAACCATTTAACCTACTGATGCTTCAATTAATGTGATTTTATATGTTTTTATTTTGAAATTTACCAGTAGCTGCTGCATTTCCCACCCTCAGCTTATACTCGAGTCAATCCATTTTCCCAGTTTTTTTGTGGTAAAATTAGATGCCTCCTCAAGTTATATTCTAGTTGGCTTATACTCGAGTATATATGGCATTTAGTTAGGAGATACTAAGTTATTTCCTCTCTTTGTATTTTAAAAGTCGACTGGTAGCAAGAAGAGACAGGCAACCGAAGGAATGAATGGTTGTAACAAGGGAAAGACATAGGATATGAAAACACAAATTCAGTCCTTGAGAACACGAAACCCGTGAGGAACTGCTTGTGTATTTACAAATATATATTCACAACTGTGTATGAAGTCTTGGACAAATTGTTTAGATTCTCTATGGAATTCCATTTACAGACTTCTGTGGAAAATTAGTTCTGTAAATATGGATTGAACTGCATTATCTCCTAAAATGTAGTTTTCTTCATCGGAGGCAGGAACTGTCCACATTCAAAGTTTTGGAAAGCTATCTTGGGATTGCTGAGGAAAAGATTTGAGTGTCCCCTGTATATTTATATTTCTGTTTTTATATATACAAAGAGAAGGAGCTGCATCAGAATAAATATTGTATCCCCTCTCCCCAACTTCTTGATCAGTTTAAAATAGGATTATTTCTTTAACTTTTACTGCATGTTAATCAGAGTAGAATTTAAAGTGTTACCATTTTTTTTCTAAACTAAATATCTTTTGTTCTGGGGATATTTCAGCCTTTCAGCAGTGAGGGCAAAGGGCAGGAGGTTGCAAGAGAGTATGGATCGGAAGGTGATGTGTCAAGTAGAACCTTGCTTTACCTCTTCCCAATCTTCACAAAGATTCCCTTCCTCTTTTTTCCCCCAGAGAGTCAGTCCTTCAGCCGAAATGGTGATGATTGATCGGATGTTCATACAGGAGGAAAAGACCACCTTAACTCTAGATAAGCAGCTAGCCAAGGAGAAGCCAGGTAAAGGTGGAAAAAAATCTTTCATATTGTGTTGTCAAAGGTTTACATGGCCAGAATCACTGGGTTGCTGTGAGTTTCCAGGCTGTATCGCCATGTTCCAGAAGCATTCTCTTCTAACGTTTCGCCCACATCTAGGCAGACATTCTCAGAGGTTGGGTTGTTGTAGATTTTTTTGGGCTATATGGCCATGCTCCTCAGAGGTTGTGAACTCTTGTCTGCTTGAGGCAAGTGTGAATGTTGCAATTGTCCACCTTGATTAGCATTGAATAGCCTCCAACAGACAAGAGTTCTTTCTTCCACCCTGGACATTCCACAGATATATAAACCTCACTAGCCTAGTTTGCAACAGACCTCACAACTTCTGAGGATGCCTGCTATAGATGTGGGCTAAACATCAGGCGAGAATGCTTCTGAAACATGGCCATACAGCCCGGAAAACTCACAGCAACACACCACTTCTTTGTTTAGAAGTGAGTTGTTCTGATTAATAAAGTAAACCTCACCTTGTTGTTTGCAATACCCAGGCAGCAACCAGCCAGGCTTTGAAGCTACAAGGCCATTGAATGCTAATCAAGGAGGCCAACTGCAACATTCACACTTGACTCCAGCAGACAAGAGTTCTTTCTTTATATTACACAAATAAACCTCACTTGCCTAGTTTCCAACAAACCTCACAACCTTTGAGGATGCCTGCCATAGATGTGGGTGAAACGTCAGGAGAGAATGCTTCTCAAACATGGCCAAACAGCCCGGAAAACTCACAGCAACCCACTCCTCATATCTCTAGTTTCTAAGCTGAAGTATTGAACTACAACTATCATAATTAAAAGAAAATATTTTTAAAATATGTTCTACAATAGACCCACAGGATAAATACAATTTATGTGCAATCCCTGAATTCTATCTTATTGAGTCTGATTCTGAAAACACCCTTGCACTTGTATAGGAAAGATTTAAGCCCAGTGGAGAGATATGAAACATCAGTTGCAGGGGAACACAAGCAGGAAGATGGTGTTCCTGCTCTTTAGGTGGGCTTAAACCCAGTGGATACTGTGAAAACAGAAAACTGAACTCCAAGTTCTTGGGCCTGATCTAGCAGAGTTCTTGTATGTTCATTCTAGGCAAGCAGACATCTCTTGAGAGCACCTTTCAGGCATATTTGTTCCTCAACTGCACCAATCTCCTTTAATAACCTTCTGCCATCTGAGGGCAAGGTCTTATTATCTGTGAGGTCCTTGCTGTGAGATAGTGCCATCCTCATTCTAGAGTTTGGCCATTCATGACCAAAAAATACTCTGAGAGGTTGACCATCCCTTGATTGAAATGTATTGTTGCTCTCCCTGAAGTTTAATATTATCATTTTTTCGTGTCAGGAGCGACTTGAGTCACTTCTGGTGTGAGAGAATTGACCATCTGCAAGGACGTTGAAGTTTAATATTATCCTTTCTTCGTGTCAGGAGCGACTTGAGAAAATGCAAGTCACTTCTGGTGTGAGAGAATTGGCCATCTGCAAGGACATTAAAGTTTAATATCCTTTTTCATGTCAGGAGTGACTTGAGAAACTGCAAGTCACTTCTGGTGTGAGAGAATTGGCCATCTGCAAGGACATTGAAGTTTAATATCCTTTTTCATGTCAGGAGTGACTTGAGAAACTGCAAGTCACTTCTGGTGTGAGTGAATTGACTGTCTGCAAGGACGTTGAAGTTTACTATTATCATTTTTTTCATGTCAGGAGTGACTTGAGAAACTGCAAGTCACTTCTGGTGTGAGAGAACTGGCCATCTGCAAGGACATTGAAGTTTACTATTTTCCTTTTTTTCATGTCAGGAGAGACTTGAGAAATTGCAAGTCACTTCTGGTGTGAGAGAATTGCCATGGGGATGCCTGGATGTTTTACCATCCTGTGGGAGGCTTCTCTCATGTCCCCGCATAAAAAGCTGGAGCTGACAGATGGGAGCTCACCCTGCTCCACAGATTTGAACTTTTGACCTTTCGGTCAGCAGTCCTGCCAGCACAAGGGTTTAACCCAATGTGCCATTGGGGGCTCCTGTAATATTATCCTACTAAGTGGTGATAGGAGGAGACCTTTCTAGCCTACTTTTCACCCAATTGTAATGTATGGTATTTCTCTTCCAGATGAATATGTTTCCTCCTCTTCACGGTCGCAGAGTTTTGCCTCGTCTCTGGCTCAGGGCTCCCTGCCCAGCAATGTCACCTCAGCTTCTGAGAACCTGAAAGTTCCTCCAGTGCAGATGGCAACGCAGATCAACCCCACAAAATTGGTCATCAAGCACAGTGGAGGCTCTCCCTCAGTTACATGGGCCAAGGCCTCTCCCTCGCTGGATGGTGACGAGGATACCTTACCCTCCAGGAGCAAGCCGCCCATCAAAACTTATGAAGCCCGGAGTCGGATCGGACTGAAACTGAAGATCAAGCAAGAGGCTGGACTTAGCAAAGTGGTTCACAACACTGCCTTGGACCCCGTTCACCAGACACCGCCACCTATCTGCACAGTGATCAAAACGGTGGATCAACACTCGTCCGCTTCGACGGTCACCACTGCCGCCGCCACGACCACTGCCACCTCAATGGCAGGGCAAATGAATGGGACAGTGGACCACATCTCTGCCGCTCCAATGGAGAAAAAACCCATTGTGACTTACTGCAGGCTTCCTCTTCGGAAGACATATCGGGAGAATGTGGATGCCTTCGTAGCAGAAAAAGCCCCTGAGGCCAGCCTGAAAAGTAGTACCCCGAAAGCGGACATGGTGCCAAGCACCCTGATCATCAAGCAAGACGGGGGGTCCAGGAGCGTCATTACCTCCCACAAGACTCACGAGGGTTCCTCTGCGACTGTGGCGGAGAAGGGCAGGCCAGAGGAAAACACCAAACACACCTTTTTCAACCGGAGTGACGCCCGTTCCCTCGTGATGCACGAAAGCCCCGCTGCAGCCAAGACCGACGATTCAGCCAGTGGCCTTATGAAGGAATTAGCGGAGGTTGAGGACGAGTTTTATCACCGGATGATAAAGACCGAGCCCCCTGACCATGGTTCTGCCACTGAACTCACATGGGAGGTGCCCCTACCCCCAGCCAAACGCCGGAAGTCGGAATCTTTCGATGTGGACAATGCCAGCTTCTCTAGCGACAGTCCCCCAGATGACTCGCTGAACGAGCATCTACAGAGCGCCATTGACAGCATCCTGAATTTACAGCAACCTCAGGCTGGGGGTCAGAATACCCGAACACCCTCCTCTTCCTACAACTCCTCCTCCTCCCCTTTCTCCTCCCCTGTCCACCGCACAGACACCTACCTTGCCCCCAATCACAACGGCGGCCTTGGAGCAAGGACGTTGAACAGATAACAGAAATGGAAAGTGAGCGGAGACTGTACAAAGTGAGCCACGGACTGAAGCTGGAGCAGCTTCTGCTGGCTGGGAAACAGTTGGAAGCCAAGGTGCCACTCCTTAAAGAGACCCACCAGAATGGGGCTGATACCAGAAGGGAATCGTGAGGGTTTCAGGTGGAGAAGGCCACAAAAAAGGCCTGTAGAGGCTTCATCCATCCAAGTGTTGATATGATGGGTTTGGGTTGTTGTAAAATACGAGCTGTGGCTGGATTTACAATACACTTGTCTCATCACATGCACCATTAGAAGAAGAGAAAGAAGAAGAAGAAGAAGGTTCAGCAACTGCCAAGCAGGCAGATGGGAGGGGGTTGGATTGGGGCCCATAGGTAGTGTTGGCTGTGTAATATTTAGATTCTGTAACAAATTGCTAATTTGAATCTCTGAATTATGATGATTGGAGTTATTTCCCCCTCCCCCAAACTCCTATTATTCTTTTTTGAGGACTTTTTAAAACAAATCCCATGCCCAAAGCCAGCAGGGAGGCCAAAGCAATGGGGCAGGGGAACAGCTCCGTGGGAGTTGTCATGTGGGGCAATTATGTAATTGATTTTGTCAGGTTTCTTAAGTTATTTTAAGCATAAACTATCTGCTTTCCTTTTTTCCCCACCCTTTTGACAAAAAAAGATATATTCTGAACAAAACACAAGAAAGGTGAAAAGTTACAAACACTAATACTCAAAAGCAAATAAAAATGCATGAGTTTGCAAATCAACGAGTTTTGAAAGAGGAAACCGGTCTCCTTTCAGGTGCGGACGGATCTGTATTTAACATGGCCATGATGAGTGCAGTAAGGAAAGTTCTGGCAAGAAGGTAGATGTCTTCTCTCCCCCCCCCCCCCCCCCCTCAAGTTTGAAATAATACAAAGTCAGGCTGAGCTCTTCATAAGAGTTGGAACCAACCTAAATCTCAGTGTTTACATATTGTGGCATAGGTGGATGCTCACCTTGATAATCTAGACCAGTTGTTCTCAACCTATGGGTCTCCAGATGTTTTGGCCTTCAACTCCTAGAAATCCTAACAGTTGATACACTATCTGGGATTTCTGGGAGTTGTAGGCCAACACACTTGGAGACCCACAGATTGAGAACCACTGATCTAGACAAAAGCAAGAAGGCAAGCAGTTTCCTCCTCTCTGTAGGTTTGTGTTCTTAGCTTTCAGGGTTTGTAGTTGGCTCCCATGGGATCTGTACCTCTCTCTGGCCTCTCTAATTTTTAAGCCCACAGCTTTGCCCCTCTCTCCTCATACAGCTAATTGCACATGACTGGAGTTCTGGGAAAGAATAGGACTCCCTTTGGTGGGTGCTGTAGCTTCTTGCTTTGGTCAGCTGGAGGAAAGAAAGGCAATAATAGCCATACTGGATTGAATCCAGAATCAATTCATCCACATTTCACTTTTCCCCATGGATTTCATTAGGACCTATGTGAGGCTGAATTAATCTAGAACCAAGCTGAATCTAGAACCAGACTGAATTAATCTAGAACCTTGCCACAGTAATGCAGCTCGGTTAGTCACTGATAGAAATAAAAAGATCCCTCTTTGCAGTTTTAACTTAATTTCCTGTTTTGCTGTTCTTTCTCTTGATTTTGGTTTTTGTTTGTCATTTTCTTTGTACACATCCATGAGGGCCTAGTAAGTACTGTGTAGAGCTGGTATTGGCAAGCTTCGGCCCTCCAGGTGTTTTGGACTTCAACTCCCACAATTCCTGGCGTCAGGCTCCTTCCGCTTAAGCAGCTGAGGGGGAAAAGGAAGGGGCCTGAAGCCAGGAATTGTGGGAGTTGAAGTCCAAAACATCCAGAGGGCCAAAGTTTGCCTGTGCTTGGTGTAGAGGAACTGAGTGCCAAAACTAAGGGGAGCTTGCCTATCAATGGGTTTTCCCACATGTCAAGTGTGTCTTTTTTATGAGAATAAAAGAATTCCAGTAACAAAAATCATAATATCATGTCTGGCCGATGGTTTGCAAGCAGTGAGAAGCCATGTTGCTTTCAAATCCTTAGTGTACTTTAGTCTTGACTTCTAAGAAAAAAAATAAATCCAACCTCATGTTAAAATTTTGATCACAGCAATGAATTGGGATCAAGTATTTCTCCACGTAACAGCTGATGTGAGATGTAGCCTTTGGTTAATAGAGAGTTAAAATCAGTCTCATGGAAACTTGATATATTGATAGTGGCCTTCAGAACAGTCAGATGTGAGTTCTGCCTCCATCTCTCCCCCAGATAATCTAGATTTTTTTTCACAGAAGCATTAAACAGTTATGAGCCCAGACGCAATATCTCCTGTGGGCTTTGCGCTCAGAGTGGAAATAAAGGTGCTGTTATGCCTTCCTTCAGATTCCTCCATTCCATAGTCCTTCCTGTTCTGTCTCTGTGTCTTGTTTTGGGCCTTTTGAAATGCCACGTCTTTCCTCTCTTCTTCCATAGCTTACTGATCTTTGCAGGGTGGACACGATAACACTTAGAAGCTTAGGGGACAACTTTTAACCTGCGTCTGTGAGACCTCTTCTCTCCTTTACGGCTGGACTGTGAGAAGAAGAAAGCCATAATGATGGAGCAGGCGGTGCTTTGTGAGCAGGCAGTCTTCCGTTAGTGGTAAACTCTGCATATTTGAGTTAGCATAGAACTCATTCGCAAGCAAGATAAAAAGTAGGAAATTCTCCTGCCATATACCTGCTTTCTAAATATTTTTTGCCACTTGACAGCTTATTGTAGCCATTTGTAATACAAGGCTCAACAAAGCACAACATTTGAGCAGGTTGAAACCTATCGTGTGTCTGAAGTGATGCTAACTCTCAAAAGCCGCGCCTTGTAGTCCCTTTAAAACAGTGGTTCCCAACCTTTGGGCCTCCAGATGTTTTGGACTTCAACTCCCAGAAATCCCAGGCAGTTTATGAGCTGTTGGGAACCATGGGAGCAGAAGTCCAAAACACTTGGGAGGCCCAAAGATTGGGAACCGCTGCTTTAACAGTAACTTTGTCTTGATTTATGCTGTGAAGGAATCTTTCTTTCACTCCGTGAGTTCTGCATAACTTGATGGCTCCCATATTCTTCCTCTTTTCTCTTTCTGACATTATATGCCAGATTAACATCTGCAATAAGCAAACTTCGACTGGAGTTATTCTTAACCTTTTTGTTTTCAAGTGTCCTCCATAGTTGGCAGTTCTTCCCTAGTCTTTTTTCCTTTCCAATATTTCAGTGTAACACGAATTACAGCAATCTTGATTCTTAGCCTTTTTCGAGAGATCCTTTGTGAGGTCCTGAAGGCTTCCAAACTAACATTCAGGTGGCAGATTTTATGCCAAACTATTAACAATAGAAGATCTTACACAAATGCCCAGACCACGCTTGTCTGTATTTTCAGTGCCAAAATATATGCCTTCTTGCCTACCAGAACATGCACCTAGTACATGCTATGGGAGAAAGTGATTTTAGAGATGGAAGGTTCTTACTGCCTTGAGTCTTGAATCCAAGAAAGTGTCAAGAGCCCAAAATCAACACCTGCATTGCAGAACCAGTATTCTGCTGATTGACGTAGTATACATTTGGTGAACAAAGCTTACCTATGAAATTAGTCTTGAAGGCAATTTTCACTTCTATGAGTTATGGCCCTTGTTTCTTTATATTCTGCTATTTTTCTTTGAACTCTTGGAAGCTGGCTTTCTTAGCTCTGATCCCTACAGGATAGGACAATTTCTCTGCCTCTGTGTCAGATGCATTTACCCTACAATGTGGTGAAAATTGTCTTTCTAGTTCACCTGCTGTGAGCAAGTCTTTAGACTGAATTGATGTTACTGTCCAAAATTTGTATGTGTGTGACACCCCCTCCCCTTTATTTGCTCTCTACTGATAGTACCTTCTTTCCAAATTTGGCACTCTTCTTGAACTCAAAACAGACATGTTTGCTTTTGCATACTACAGCTGAAAGAGTTAACTAAATGTTTTGTTTATAAATGCTCAAACTGCCCTTTTAACTATTACCAAAATCTTTTGTGTAACGCCCATTTCCACCCCTTCTGTGTTTGTGTGTGTGAAGAAAAATGCCTTTTATTATCAGATTGCAGGTGAAAGCTGGGCAAACAACTTATTTGGTTGCCATCTTGCAATAAAAACCAAGAGCAGGATTTAGGCCTAGTACTTGAGACAATTGAAGTCCAACTTTGTCCTTTGGACATGGTACCAAGTCTTCCACATTCATCCACTAGCTAAATTGTCTATTTTCTCCTTCCATTTTTCAGAATTCTGAGTTATTTTTTATTTGATGCTATAACTCCAGTCTCAGAGAGTATTCCACCAGTCTTCCAAATTCTTTCACATCCTTATTTCTATATTTCTTTCTCCCCACCCATCTCCTAGAAGCAGTCCTGAAGCAAAATCTCTTCAATACATCTCCTTCTCTGATGTTGTTGTAGATCACTATCCCTGCCTAAACTCTGAAAAGCAGTTGTCACAAACTCTAGAGCTTTATTTAGAACAGCATTATGGAGGAAAGGTCCATAGCCTGGGCTATAAGGATGCAACAACTTTTCCATATGTAGCTTTAACATATTAATAAGGCAAACAATTGCCTTCAGAATATAATCTTCCATTGTGCCACGCTAGCCTTGTTCCCCTTAAAGGCTAGATTTCCACAAAAAAAGTTAGAAGTATGTTCTTAGATCAGCCCCTCAAAGGTATGCAGTGGTTAGAATGGGAAATATCTGGGTGTCCCCCAAAATGGAACATTTTGAAGCCCCCTTTACCCACTTTTCCTCCTTGCCCAAAAACTGAGCACAAATTAAGCGAAGCTTTAATGTCGCCATTCTCAAATTGGCATCATCTGGGTCAGATGTACTACTACTTCCATAAGACCTCAAACCAATTGGCCAGGGAGTTTGGGGAGCTCTAATCTAGTCCATTGTAAGATGCAAACTTAAAGAAGATTGCCTTAAAATATCCATCTGCTTTTTCAGGTTTTTTTTTTTTGTTTGTTCATAAAACCTAGAAGTGGGTTGGGGGCTATGTCTTATCAAAAGCTGCAGGAACAGGAGAATTAAAGGTAATTCTTTTGAAACGATTTGAAGAATTTGAAGCATGAATAATTTGATAGCCAAAAGAATAGTCCTGATGCCCATGCAGGTTTTCCTAAAGCAGTTATATGAAATTCTTACTGGTTTTGTCCCATTATTGTGTTCTCTGCTGTTTAGTATCTGGCTTTGTACACATTAATATGAATGCACAAACACATGTAAGTGCACAATATGCTTCT